CTCCATGAAGACCCCACCCGCCCACTCTGTCAAGCATCCCCAGCGGTAGGTGCAGGGTGGACAGCTCCTGGGTTGGATAGGATCAATTGCCCCTCCCCACCCCCTGCCATACTGGGAAGGGTCAGCATCTCCTGTTCCCCCTCACCCCAGTGCACAGGGTCAGATCAGCACCCCTCCACCCTCAGCCTGCAACAGCTCACCAAAACTCCCTAAGTGGCCCTCGAGCCCAAACAATTGCCCACCCCTGACCGAAGTCCTCCTTACTTCAGTGGACTCATGTCTAGGTTCAGGGAATGTGAGTTAAACGCTATGACACTTTTAACCACTGCCCAGATTCCCAAATGCAGCTTGTGTCTGCTGACATGCCTCGGCTCCCCCATTGCAGCTGGCTCAGATTGGCCTTCTTTTGGGCAGGCAGAACAGGGCTTCTGACCCAAGCCACTGCAGGTAAAATTCTCGTCCTTGCAGAAATGGTCCTGCCAAGGCAGATGTTGAAGGTTCCTGTCAGGGAGGCAGGCAGCAGGGTGGTGAAGGCCTATACTGCTGCTGTGCATGCTGTCCCCATTGTCCAGCTACACAGAAATGGGCACGGCTGTCAGTCCAACGCTTTTCACTAGCACCGAATTCCTGTGGCCTCAGTGAAGTATGGAAAAACAAATGCAGCCTGATGCTGATAAGTGTTTAATATCTAGGTGAAGACAGGACTTTTCAATACAGTTTCTCTCCCTCATTTATTTAAAATGTGTAAATTTTCAACATGTGCTATGAAAAAATAATCTGCAGTCAGCAGCTATCTCCTACTATGGTGCATGTGCCAGGGACAGTCCACCAGCTCAGCTTACCCTCCTGCTCTGAATGTCAAAAACATCCCAGTTGATTAATGCAGTAGCATTAAGAGAAGACAGATGATGTCCAGGTTTCTCAAGGCCATGGAATGACTCACTGCCAGCTTTCAATGTCCTGCCAATCACCTTGTTTGCTTTCTTTTCCTCCCTCTGTCTATATAGAAAAATATAATTTCTTGGGGATCAGCATTGTAGGACAGAGCAACGACCGGGGAGACGGCGGGATTTACATTGGCTCTATTATGAAAGGAGGGGCCGTGGCAGCAGATGGCCGTATTGAACCGGGAGACATGCTTCTACAGGTTGGTCCATGTCTGAAAAATGATACTGCTGTCTGAGGCATTAGTGGCTTCAGGTCAGCCTTTATATGGGGCCGCTTAGCCCTGGGGTCTGTGAGCAAAATTCTTCTCTGTGCAGAGGAGCTTGCCTGAGGCATTTTATCACTTGGGCCTCCCACTCTTTGCTGTTTGATTTGCACTCCCTTTGCTCGCTGGATGACCAACTCCGCAGCAAGATAGCTGCACCTTCCCCAGCAGATGAAAATATTTTAATGCTAATCACATTTGGTGCCTCACCTGCAGTTCTTGAGCATATATTGTTAATCGCCATTCTTAGGGAAATACACAACATTAAATGAATCCAAATGGGTCCTTCCCCTGCCTGTTGCAATATGGGACCATCTGTATCTTTTGTGATCTGCTCTAGGTGAATGACGTCAACTTTGAGAACATGAGCAATGACGATGCAGTACGGGTTTTGCGGGAAATAGTCTCCAAGCCTGGGTAAGTGCCTTTCCAAATCCCTTCTTTCCTCTCCTCCTCCTCCTTCTCTTGCCATTATGAGTACTGAGAAAACTGCAAAAAGTTTGGCAGTTCAGTTGGGATAAGTATGTAGAGCATGGACACTAATCTCAACTCTTTGACCTTCTTGGTGCAAGTGCTAAACAGGTGAGATCCTGTGTGCTGATATACCTGACAAAATGAACACAAGCTGGGAGTCATCATACTGTTTCATTCCCTGCAGGGTTTCTAGGACCTAGTTCCTTTATAGGGTGGGACTTTCAAAGACCTCCACAGCGGCCGATCCTGCACTTTTCGCCAGCACTGAATTCCTGTTGCTCGGATAACACGTGCAGATCCAGCCTGATGCTGGCACACAGTCCCTACACTGACTTTTTTGGAGGCAAAGTGTCTATGGAAGGACACGGCTTCCATTGAAGAGGCAACATGCCCAACCCTCTGATCATTACAGCAGGGATGGGTGGTAGATCATCCAGCCGGTAGTATGACAATTTGGCCAACATCTCAGAAGCCTCTTTCCAAATGAAGAACAAAGATGTTTCCCGCAATGCTGTAGTGTCAGTCTCACAGCTTTTACAAGGAAGGAGAATAGAGTCACCCTTACTTGTTTTTCTTATTTTCAGACCTATCAGCCTAACAGTGGCCAAATGCTGGGACCCCACACCCAGGAGTTACTTCACTATCCCCAGGGGTAAGTGAGCAGCCAGCTTTGTGGTGTTGACAGGCACAGAGAATTCATAGCAAAAAAACCCACAGGGTCCAGGCATTTCCTCACTATTAAATCCTGGTGAGTGGAGCCTGCCAAAGTCTGATTTCTTTCTAATTGCTTTCTTTTGTTGTTTCAGCTGAACCAGTGAGGCCAATCGACCCTGCAGCGTGGATCTCTCATACCACAGCCATGACGGGAGCATACCCCCGTTACGGTATGAGCCCCTCCATGAGCACCATCACATCTACCAGCTCCTCACTAACAAGCTCAATTCCCGATTCGGAAAGTAAGTCACACTGCGGCCAGCACAGGGCAGGTATCTTCTGCTCAGGGCCGGCAGTGTAGAGCTATACAAAAAGCAAAACAAACCACAAACCAAACCACAAGCACAATGCCAACAACAGCTGCAAAGAAAACCTGTGTTTTTCTATTTATTTTAGTTTTGACTTTTGTGGGGAGCATAAAACTTTCCAAAGGTCAAAGGTTAAAACTGCGATAACACAATGCCAGTTGAGCAAAGGTTCACACTTTGGAGAGGATGGTTTCTGGCCCTTTAAGAGAGTTCCCTATCATCCTATCAGAAGCCAGTGGGTGGGGATTCTTTACTTTACTTTACATCAATCCCTTAAAGAGATAGAAACCATTTTGTCCCAAATGAATAACCTTGCTTGCGAGACAGCAGGGCACCGTAGCAGGAATCTTTCTGTTGACATTCCTGATAGACATCCCAGCTGTATTAGGATTTTTAGTGGGTTTTCTGTTTATGGAACTCTATTAAACAAACAGAAAAGAAAAAAGAAAGTGAAGCTGTGCTTTTTGAAGCAAAGGATCAGATTTATTCCCCTCCAACAATCTGCTTGTGGAGTTTTCAAGTTATTAACTTGGAAGTTTTAGAGCTGAAGACACAAAACTGAAGGAATGAGAGGCTTGACTCCTTGTGTTCTCTCTGACACGAGTGCAAGACAAAATGCAACCCCTGATTTGTAAGCACCCTGCCGTAATGCAAGACAAGTAAATATAAATGATGTTTCCTGAGCTTTTGGCTGCAATTCAAGAAAGCTTCCTTATTCAAGATACCACTTAAGTACTTGCTTAAGCCCCTTTGAAGTCAAAGACACTCAGCACATGCTTAAATGTTGTCCTGGATAAAAGAGAAATAAAGAGATTGAATACTAAAACTATGCAGGACTGGTTCGCCTCTTCAAGTATGTTGCCACCTAGTGTTCCACCATGAGCCACGGAGTCTACTTGAGTTTTGATGCTGACATTGCAGTGAATGCTCAGCCCAACCTTGCTAAATTGTACAGGCTGGGGAGATATTTCCTAATGGCCCATGAACAGGAAGTTGTAGAGTCTTTTTGCCTGGATCAGGATCAGATTCCTGTCTCAGTCTCTTACTCACAAATGGGGAAGTCCTGAGGGAATGACCGTGCCCTTTTTTTCCACTATCAAGTAGAAGTGATGTTGGTGCTGGTTTTCCATAATAGTTCATCTTTATATACAAAATAAAGCTAGCATTTTACAAAATGACTCTTCCAAAAGAGCTGATGTCTGGGGTATGAGTGCTTAGAATTATATACAAGTGAGGGCCCGGAGAGAGATCTCAAGTGGAACACCCACAGCCCCTGAGTTACTCCCAAATTACAGGTCCCCTTTAACCATGTGTGTCTGTGTAGATTAGAAGGTCAAACTGGTTATAGGAGTGTCACTTACACACCTCTTTAAATATGTGCTTTGCACAGGAAATATTCTAACCGCACATGGTAATAGTGAAAAGGCTGATTCTTTTGAAGAACCATAACACTGCTGCTCATCTCTTGATGTTCTTTCAGCTCCAAGTTGAATTTTGCAATGATGCAACCTGACTTAGACATGTTAGGGAACTTTGCATCTTTAGTAGGACATATTTCTTTCTTGCAGATTTCCACTATAGAAACATATAGAAGGGAAGAGAACCTTTCACACAAATTTTTAAACTAGTCTGTATCACAGGTCTATCCATTCTTGATAGACTCTAGAAGTTACTTTAACTGCTAGAAGTGGAGACAGAAGGGTTTTTTTCCATGGAGGCCTTGGTCAGTATACAAGCCAGGAAGCCAGTTGAACTCATGTGCTCAGTTCAGCAAGTGCTGCAGCATTTGGCTAAGTTGAAACGTAAATGAAATAGGTCTTTCAGAGCAATTTCTACAAACATGTATGGAAACCTTTTTGGTTTTCTCCCCAGTACATTCTGAAGAACTTTTTCAGATGGGAGAAGGTTTACAGAAAGACAAAAGCAGTACAGACCTTGACTGATCATTTACAGAGCTTTTGGATTAATGATCACTGACCAGATCTTTCTTGGGCAGATGTTTGGTTCAAGTATGAAACCCCAATAATGTCTGTGAGTTGGTGGTGCCTTTGTGATTGAAAGGACCAACAAATTCCTTCAGACTGGGTGGTTTCCCTCTCTTTCCCTCCCTCCTGTTCTCTCTGATTTCATAAGCAGGCAGTAGCTAGAATGACATTCTCACCTTGAAACTCTGAGGAGGGAGTTATCATCTCTCTTGTAGGTCTAGTGGCTCGGCATCTCTCTAGATATTAGGTGGCACCAGGAAAGGGGAAAAATATCGGCAGTCAAAGGTGAGCAAACCACTCACCCCACCACAGTTTTATCTTGAGATGCGTTTTTCAGTCTTATGCACACTAAAGATTACCGGAGTCTAGCGTCTCTGCTGATTGCTGTCAAACAATGAGAGTCTGTTACTCTGTTGACATTCCTCTTAAAACATTAATGTATCAGGTGCCTTGATGCACAGTAAAGTGATTTAGAAATGTGGAACGCAGACACCCTCTTAATCACATGCCTAAAACAAAGGTTGCGTGAGAGCACAGCTGCTCTTTTGGAGATTGCTTTTCCCTTCTATGCCTGTGGTGCAAAATTTCCCCCCTTTTTTTTTTAACTCGGGTAGGAGAAAAATCTGAAAGCAGAAGAAAGAGGGGGATTGCTTTGGAGAGGGAGTAGTCGCAATGAACTTGGAATCAGGACTCCAGGTTTCCATTCCTGACTGCCACTCACTCGGCTGAGTCCGTTAGCTTCGCCGTGGCTCAGCGTCCCCACCAACAAGATGGACATGGCACTGCTGACACACCTCATCACCATGTGCTGAGCTTTGCTTCATTCATTCTCATTCTCAAAGCATTTTGAGATCCCCAGGTGGCAGGTACTTGCGAAGGGCAGCATTTTCTTATAAGCAGTTTTGTTGCATCTTTCCTGAAGAGCAGCAAGGTTGATAAGACGTTGCCCTGTCATTCATTCAGTTCCCTTTCCTGTCTCCTCTGCTGTGGGCCAGTTCACCTGGAGGCAGAACAGAAGCAACCAATCCAGGTCTCACTGGGGAGGAAGATTGGACTTGACACGTTGACCGCTCATGCCCTGGCCACGTGGACAGACTTGCCCTGAAACAGGGGACATGGAGGCAAAAGCTTCTGGAGCCAACTGCATACAAACAAGCTGCTATCTTGAGAAGGAATCATGCTGGATTGCAACCAGGATAACTTTTTCTGGGGGAAGGGGATAGCTTTGCTTACCACTAAAGCAAATGAGAGCTTTAGGTCTTAAAGGAACCCACAGCACAGCAGGGCATGTCTGTTCTGCTGTCCCTAATTCTTCACAGCAGTTCCCTTAAACACAGGACCCCTAAGGGTCTTGAGCACCCAGTCACTGCTTCAATTATGCTGTTTCCCAGGGCGTTGCTCTTGAGCCTGGCTCACCCACTCACTCCTGCTCCACAAATGCCAGCCCCAGAATTGAGCTGGTGAAGCCACCAGGAGAGAGCTCCCTCCTCTGCTTTTGAGATGTTGGTCTCTGCCTTGTCTCTGCCACGCTTGAGAGCAGGTATAGAGGATGCCTTTAACTGCCTCATTCCCTGGTTTGGTGCCGGCAGAGTGCATCATCAGGGAGCCCTGTAGATGTATCCTATGAGACCAGACAGACCCAGTTTTCCACATTAATTATTGCTGTAAAAAAACTACCTCATTTTTCTCTAATAATTTTAACTCCCTTCTAGGCAGTGTTCTCTGGCAGTAACCTGTAGTATTCTCTGTGTGAGGCCAGTTCCCGTGCCAGCTTACCTATAAAAGCAGACCTGAATTCCTCTGTTTAAAATGCTCACTTGATTTTTGTGCACTTGGCCTCTCCACATTCATTCTAGACATCCTTGGGCGTAAAAGAATATGTCATTCTCTAGGGAGAGCCCTGAACATTGCAAAGCATGTCTTGGAAGTTGTAGGAGTTGATCCAAAGCCTACTGAAATCAATGGGAGTTTTTCTGTATTGACACCAGGGGACTTGGGTCCAGACCACTTCTGTGGAACTCAGTTGTGCTTTTTGATAAAGGGACCCTGTCTAGAGCTCATGCCCCAAAACCAGATAGCCTGTGCCTTGACAAATGCACATGTGAGTTCAAATGAAGATGCAAAGTAGACATGGCAAGAGGTGAGGTGTATCAGCATTGTCCTGCTGCATGTACTTTCCTTTTCTCTGATCTTTGAAAGTGGATAGGCAATGCTGGCAGACCAGGGTGCCACTCAGAAAAGTCTGGAAAAGCCTGATGATATCTCATTCAGGAAAAAGTAGGTGTTTCCCTCCTGCCTGTACTTGAACTCATATAATCACTTAATGCAGCCATGTTGTCAGGCCTAGGGTTATGAGGCAGCGTCCAGTCCTGATTTGGTACATTTTTTCTGATGTAACCAAGAGTTTTCCTATTTGAATAACCACCAGCAGAACTATAGCCTGCTTAATTGGTCTTGTTTTCCCTCTTGCGGTTTCTAATGACATCATGTTGGTCTAGATATAGAATATAGGTTTCCATGAAAATCCAGTTTATTGCTCCCCACATGTTTACATCAGACTTTTTTGTTTCAGAAAAAATAAAAAATATATATTGCTTTTTGCTACTAACCAGACTAACTAAAGCAAAAGCAAGATCTTAGCATTGCTCAGCGTGTATGAAGGTATAAAAACCTCACGTGTGTTTGGCGCACGGTGCTATATTTCATGCATGTAGATGTGCACGTATCAAGATGGATGTTTTTGAGTTTTCATTGTTCCATACTTGTGCCTCTTACCAAAATCCGAGTGTGGCTGAAGTGAAATAAAATGGATTCCTTTGATCGGTGGCTCAGGGGTATATATGAGAGATGGGCCTGGGCTGCTAAATCTGGAACCACGTGGTGGGTATGATTTTTTCAGAGCTGGGAGGATGGGAGGCAGGGGTTGCTTTCTGGTGACAGTGGGTGGCCATTAAAAACTGAGGATAAGCTGGGGATTGGATCAGTCTGCTGGAGTTTGAGGTGTGTGCCCATTTCTAAATATCGTCATCTCTAGCAAGCCCAAGAGCTGCTACATTAACAGTCTGGGTAGAGAAAGAAGGCCTGGATGGGTGGGTAACTAAATTGTAAGGCACCCCCCCCAGAGTGTCACACCAAGGGCAGGGAGGCCACACTGACTTCTGCCCAGCCAGGACTGGAGATCTAGCAGGCCCTTGCTTCTTCCAGGAGCCTCTTGAACCATACACAGTGCAGGAGGGTGAAAGGAGAACAGTAACAACCACTCAGTGCTACAGCTCTTCCAAACCCCTCTGCAGGAGGGAGCTGCATGGGGGAATAGATGTTCTTAGATCTTGTTATTTCCCTGGCTTGTAAAGCTGTCTGTCATTTGTGTACCACTAAACAGGTCATTTTGCAGGAGCCCGCTAGCCTGCCTCTTCTGTGTTGATACTGGCTTTCTTGTACTTTCCTGATCTACTCCACCTCTTCCAGTAAGGCCTGTGGCCTGATCCTGTTAATCTGAGTGCAAGCTGCGTGCACAATCTTTTACGTCCCATTGCAGATGGCACCATTCATAGTAATAAACCTAAAGCCTAAAGTAGAAACAATAAGTACCCATTCCTACTGCCGCTGCACACACGGCTGCCACTCCTCCTTCAGTGGATTTGTATGGGGAAGGGATGTGGACTGCAGTATGAACAGAAAATAGCTAGCATCTTGGGAGTTCTCCCCTGTGATGCTAAGTGCAGAGGAATGGAGCGAAACAGGACAGTAATAACGGTAGATCCACAGGGCTCCTGTGCTCCACGACTTAAACCAGTCTCACCAAGGAGATTCTTTTCTGAGTCTGTATGAAGGCTCTAATTCTGTATCAATAACGAGAATGAGTCTCTGGTATCTTGGGCCAGATCCTATTCTGCCCCTTAGGTGTCTAAGTGCATTCCTTTGCCACCTTGCTCGAACCCCTGAGAAACCGTTAATGCTCTATTTTGGTCATCCTACCCTTAAGACTAAGTCACAAAAGCATAAAGAGGAGGAAGACCCACCTGCCTTTTTTGTAGAAGAGGAGCATACTTAGATGCCTACATACCACTTAGATGCCTTGTAGATGGGCTGAGATCTGGCATCTGAATCTCATGTCTGCTTAATCCAAACAGTGAGCTGAAAAGAAGTGACTTTCTCTCTGCAAACCCAGCTGGGTTCGGGGAAGCATGTAACCTGTCTTCCTTTCAGAATTAGAAGAATCTCCCTTAACTGTGAAGAGCGACATGGCCACTATCGTCAAGGTTATGCAGTTACCTGACTCAGGCCTCGAAATCCGAGACAGGATGTGGTTGAAAATTACCATCTCCAATGCAGTAATAGGTAAGGAGTTCACAGGGGTGCTGTTGAGATCACCCAGCCTTTTATTAGGGAGAGATTGGCTTTTAGAGCCATTTGGAGTGCCCATCCCACCACCATGTGTTTTATGTGGGAAGGAATCTAGTCTTGAGGGAGGCAACAGCTCTAGTTTTGAACCTGGGTGGGCAAAGGCTAGGCAAGCTTCTGTGCCCAGTATCCCATTGCAGCTTGCCCCTTACTTGTAATACTCTTTCTGTTCCAGTCCTGTGTCTGCATGCTCTGGCAAAGCCCCACCATCCAGAATAGCATCACTTCCTGCCATTCCAGTCCCAAATATCTTTCAGTTCTGCCAAGGCATCTCAGTCATGGCAGAAATTACCCCCCTTATTGTAGCCTTGATTAGAGACTGTCTAGAAAGACAGTATCATGGCAGTTTTCCATGCACAAGCCACTTTTAAAATATCCGAACATTAGTCAAATATGTGAATATTAATTGAATATTAATTGGTACTCCCAACTGTTCATCGCTCTCTAACCTGGTGCCTGGTGGTAATGGCAGCACCTAGAGCTGTGTCCCACTGGAGGATGGTTGCATTTCAAGGCTGAGTCAAATGAAAGGTGGTATGAAAATATGCTCTTAAGGTCTTAGGATTCTTGTGCTTTGTTTTTGTAGTCCCTAGCCCAAAGGCATGGTGACCTGAATGAAGCACAGGTACGTTGTGATAGACAAGGGTGATAGGAAGATGAACATTGTCTCGACAGCTGGAAGTGACTTTGAGATGATTCTTTCCGTCTCCTCTCTGTGCACCTACAGGGGCAGATGTGGTTGACTGGCTTTACACGCATGTGGAGGGCTTCAAAGACCGACGAGAGGCTAGAAAATACGCCAGCAGCATGTTGAAACATGGCTACCTCAGGCACACTGTGAACAAAATCACCTTCTCGGAGCAGTGCTATTACGTCTTTGGGGACCTCTGTGGCAGTAAGTTTCTCACCAGTGAAGAGCAGAGCTGTGGGGAGGGGGGGTCACAGGTGTGTCTCTGAGACCAGAGATCTCCTTCTCTCCCCAAATCAAGTTATCTCTCCATGAGATAAACATTTGGGTCACCTGGACAGAAAGGGTGGGTCAGTCTTGAAACAGGGCAGTTGAATGGGACTTAGGAGATCTTGGCTACACTGAGTCACCTCGGGTCTCAATTACCAAGCTTGTTGCAGTTTACAGTTTCCCCCAGTGAGGATAATATTTCCTGTTATTCAATATAGTGTTTCTGTGGCAAGGCCATTCTACCCTGATCCACCAGGGTTGGGTTTGATTAATCACATGGATGGTACTACAAAGCCCCATTTTCTTTTTTTTTTTCTTTTTCCTAGGAAATAGGTGGATAGTAAATTGGAGGGACACCCTGGCTGTTACTGAGACACTCAACAGAAAGATCAGACTGTCCCTGGGGGCAGTTGGCAAACCTAGGCTGAGAGGATCCAAGGGTTTGCAAAGCTAGGCTGATAGCCTAATAAGAACAAGCTTTCTGAGGCATCTGGTTCAGTCTGTGTCTGATCAAGTTAGAGGTGTTCTGAGAGCAGCCTCTGTCATAATATTTTGGCACTTCCTCTTCCAGCTGTGACCTGAAAGTTCAGAGACTGCACGAAGATCTGATAAGAAATAAGTTAATTGGCCCTTTCCTGATCTATAAGAGGGCTTTACCCAGTGTAGTTCAGGGGGAATTCCAAGTCATGTAACCCATCCCTTGATGTTCGTTGGCTGTTTGTGAACTCCAGTTCTCTGAAAACTTGGAGCAAGGCTACCAGAAGGACATGTGCACAATTCTGTGCCTCATTTCTCAGTGGTAGCAGATGACAGAACAAGGGGCAATGCTCTCAAGTTGCAGCAAGGGAAGTTTAGGGTAGATGTTAGGAAGAACTCTCTCGCTAGCGGGGTAGTAAAGCACTGAAACAGGGAGGTGGTGGACTCTCCATCCTTGGAGGTTTTTAAGACCCAAGTTGACAAAGCTTTTACTGGGATGATCTAGTTGGGGATGGTCCTGCTTTGAGCACGAGGTTGGACTAGATGACCTCCTGAGGTCTTTCCCGTGGTTCTGTGATTTCCATACACGTTTGCTCTGGTTGCTTCATTTCATTGACCTGCCCAAATGGTTGTTTCCACAAGTTGCACATCAAACTGGAACTTCCAGCTTTGATGAGTAATGTGTACATAGTGGAAGCGTGCAGCTGTATGCATATTTTTGCACCTGCAACTGTGCACGCAAGCTTGAGAAAACCTGAGGCTCCAGGTTAAGTATTCCTGCCTACTCTGTCATGTACAGTATTTTGACTGAACTGCTGAAACAAAGTCCCAGGCCAATGCACTGGTTGTCACAGTGCATGATGATAGTACCAGGGTCTTAACTGCTATGGGAAAGCACTGCCCTCAAGTTTCCTTTCTCTCTGCAGATATGGCTGCATTGAACCTCAACAATGGGTCAAGCGGAGCCTCAGATCAGGACACTCTTGCTCCACTCCCACATCCTGCTGCACCTTGGCCATTAGGCCAAGGGTACCCCTATCAGTACCCACTCCCTGCTCCATGTTTCCCACCAGCATACCAGGACCCAGGCTTCAGCTATGGCAGTGGCAGTGCGGGTAGCCAGCAAAGTGAAGGTAAGCTTTTGAGTTGTGCATGCGCTCTTACAGCTCCCATTATTCCTGGCCATTTGCTTGATTTCCTGAGTCCTATCTGTGCTCCCTTCCTTGTGGTTTTGTGTGCTTCATGAGTGGATTTGATGCGACTTCATTGAATCAAGACTCTCTTTGCAAACGCGAGGGAGTGGGTTAGCCTCTCAGCCCTGCATTGGAACTGCCAATGACAGTCTAATTGAGCCCACGCACTATGCTATCTGTATAGCTATGCCACAGCTCAGCACACCACACCATATGCATGGGGGGAGCTAGACACAATGCTGCTTGCCATGTCCAATGTGGCATGGGTGTCTGTACCTTTCTTACCCCACAGCATCTCATATGAGTCTAGCACTCGCCTATTGCTAATTAACCAAACACAAATGACTCAGTCCTCATCTGTGAAGTAGGTATGGAAACATCTTTGCTGCCTCTTTATCAGAGGGAAAACTAAGGCCCAGGGTGGGGGGATACCTGGTTTTCTGAGGTACGAGTCACTGAAGGGATGTTGAGACCATTCAGCTTTACTTCCACTTTGGGAGTCTGTGACTAAACTGGAATGAGAATTGAGGCTTCTGGCTTCCTCTTCCCTGCTCAGTGCAGAAGGGATGTTCATGTCTCCTTTTTGCATGAGACCAGCAAGAAGGGTGCTCTGCTCTCTGAAACAGCCAGTTCTGAAAAGCCATGTAGTGGGGAGGAGAGCAACTTCAGCAGTTGCGCTCTAATGCACACCATGCAAGTTGGATGCACTGACTACCTCCTTTTCAACCCCAAGACCCCCTTGCCACTTCGTTTCTATGAGCACCATAACAAAATAAGTCTCTTGCACAACTAGAGGAGGTCCTGTGGTTTCAGTGTGAATGCTGCTTTTGGCAACACTGCCGGTGACAAACAGCAAGGCTCTCTAGGAGTCTCCAAGTTTGGGTATGGATTTTGTTATTAAGGTAAAGAGCCAGTCATTTGCATGCAGCCCCTTCAGATATAAACTTTGCCACTTTGGTTTTGCAAAACCAAGCTGACAGTCCCATCAAAAGAGCTCTCATGGGATTTCCAACATTTCCACATTTGCCCTCAATTAGAAACAAGAAGCGTGTCTGGTAGAGAAACCAAGAGTGTGTTTAAAGGTTACAGGACTTTAGCCAGTCGCATCATGCCCACCCTGCCTCTTGGGGTGTGATTTTTTTCCTCATCCACTTCACCAGTCCCTGTGAGCAATCCAGTATTAGATCCTTGCTGCTGGAGTAGGAAAGGTACAGTGTTTTCCCCGTGCAGCTTGGGCTACCAGCTAGGAGAGCCTTGTGCAAGGCAACGAGAGTATCTCATTTTGAAGGGTTGGACTTTCCTTGTTCTTCTTTTGGAAACTGCGCTGCTGTGGTGTTTCTTGTTTTGTAACTGTGTTATTCCCTTGTTTTGTTCTGAGCAAGCATTAGACTGAAGGATTCATAGAGGAATGGCTGTCTCTAGGGGATTGGTAAGCTTCAAATGCCTCCATAATAATGACTCCATAGCATGATCATTTAGACTCTTGTGACCCCAATGTGTAGTTGTTTCCTTTTTCTCCTGTTTTCTTTCTGATTGTCATAGGTGCTCTGCCTGTCCCAGTGCACAGTACCCTAGTCCCATGGCATTAACAAAGCCAGCAGTCTGACTGACCCCCGTGGAGAGGCTTTGATGTGTGACTGAGGCACAGCAGTCCCAAGGGGATGGCACCAGACACCTCCCTGTCAGCATACAGACTTGGCAATTGTGTCCTTTGTCACCCTTGTTATGTCACCTTACAGAATGCAGCGTCCTGCTGTATTAGTCCTGTAAGCTGCTTCTGGAATAGAAGTACCCACCAGTGCGCTACATTTGCACTTCCACTGGCTAGCACTTGAGTATTTTCCAGTGACCCGAGATGTGCCGACTGCTGGACCCAATGCAGAATCCCTCTGTGCTGGGCGTTTAGAAATCAGAGATACAGGACAGTGGAAGAACATGAACTGGGCACCAGATTATCTTTTTTTTTTAGCCCCTCTCTCTGTGACACAGTGGATCCCTTGTACAGCAGCTCTGGGTCCATCTGGATGTGTGCTGTTCACTCAGGGTGGAATTCCTCTGGTGCAGAAAGGCACAGCTTTACATGTGCGAGGAGAGCCTAGTCATTTGCAGCCTCTCATGTCCTAGAGCCAAATATAGCAAATTTCCAACTAATGCCAGACAAAATCCTGAACTTTTGAGAGGTTCAGGGTAGGAGAAAAGGCTGGCAATGAGGCTTAGGTCCTTTTCCCAATTGGTGTGACAGCTTGGGTCGATGTCCATTTAGTCTGAAACATGACACAGTCCCTCCTGGTGATACCCAGGGTGCCTGTTTCCCCTTTATGGAAGGTCTGGGATCCCTGAAAGGAAAAGCAGCTGTGTGATGAGACCCACTAGAAATCACCATTTGTATTAGGGAAGCACTTAGAGCCCTAAAGCACCATCAGGGCTCCATTGTGCTGGGCACCATACAGATAAGAAGTAAGAAACAACCTCTGCCCCAAAGGCCTTACAGTCTAGAGAGACAAGAAAAAGGGCAAGAGGGAAAATAAAGGCCCTGAAGGTGAAGGGACATGACAAGCCAGTGGTCAAGCAAGAAACAAGACTTGGCATTCCAGAGTCCTAATCCAGTTGCCCCAAGGGCACATCTGGACTGTTTCTGGTGCATCCAGGGAGGGCTGCTCTCAAGCAGGCCTCACTTGCTGGGTTTTGCTCACATGCACCAAACCTGGAAATGCAGTAGCAGAGCCACTCCAGGGACTTCCTACAGCTACGGAGACCAGGAGTGACAGGCCTGAGTGCCAGGAAAACAGTGTAAGCAATCAGGACTTGTGGTACAGATGATATCTTGTATTAAACCAACTAGATTTTTTTCAAAAAAAATGTTTTTAATTGCAAGCTTTCAGGCACAAACACCCTTCATCAGGCATAGGAAAAAACATTCTTTAGCACTGTAGAAAATGAGGGCTGGAAGGGACCTCAGGAGGTCCAACCCCCTGCTTGGAGCAGGACCATCCCCAACTAGACTATCCCAGCCAAGGCTTTGTCTAGCCAGGTGTTAAAAACCTCAAAAGGTGGAGATTCCACAATCTCTCTGGGTCGCCTGTTCCAGTGCTTTACTACCCTCCTAGTGAGAGAGGTTATACATTTGAAAATACTGAAATTTGTTGTAAAAGTTCTCTTGGGTAGAAATGGAAGTTCATATTTCATAGGAGAGTTGAAGGTGCAATAAAATCTCCTGTTTGGAGCAGTTCATTTTATGGGAAAACAGCATAGACACCCCAGAATGGCTCGTCTTCCCCAGCCTTCCCCCGGCTACCCCAAGAGGCAATTCCCAGGACATTTCAGAGCCTGCATGGTTTAGGAGGCAGAGCGACGGAGTGGGTTTGTGCGTCCGACTGTGCCAGAGAGTGAAGACCGATCATCTCAGTCATGGCAGAGTAAAACTCAACTTTTCTCAGCTGCTAGAAAGCAAATTCTTTGAAACCAAAGATGTCAGTTTAATACTGGTTTAAAATGGGCCTTTGAGACAGAAAATGCTGACACCGCTGTGCACATAGCACAGCTTTTAGGCTGAGCTGTGTGTCTTTAAGCTAGGCCTTTCCCAGCTGCCAAACATACAACAGTATCATCAGAAGGGCTTTAAACACAAAGATCAGGAAGACTTATCTTTGGCAGGATGCTTGTTCTTCTTCAGGGTTTAAAAGCATGCAAGAAATGGATCCAGTCCAGTGTGCTACTGGTATGTTGCAGGGCGACAGAGGCTGAGCAGCTGCCTTTGTTCTCTTCAGCTGCACCACAGCTGCCTTTGTGACCGATTTCTTACCTTCTGTGGCTTTGCAGTCAGTGGAGGAACCCAGGTTTCCTTGCAAAGGAAAGGTGGAGTGCACCCATTTACCTTCTGGATTAATCGCTCCTCACCTTGACCCTCGGAAAATTAAGTCAATTAGAGGCCCTGCTCCAGGCGCTTGGAGAGTCTTGACTATTGGGGGAATGGGGCCCAGAGCCTGTCCTGACCCGGCGGAGTTCTTGATGCAGGAAAGTCTCTCTAGATCAGCGTCAAGCTCTCTGCCTCTCCGCCGGGCTCTGAAACCTGCCAGGAGCTTATACCTCTGGGGAAACCGCAGCAAGGAGGATAGAGCTGAGGCAAGAGTGGATCCGAGAGGCAGCAGGGGGATCAGTTTGTAGCAGATGGTTTGCTATTGCTCAAAGGCTAATGTAACATGGGGACTCTCTCCTGCTGCACATAGTGACCCAGTGCATTGGGATTTCTTCCCTCTGGGCGCATGTTGATATTTATATAAAGCAGCTATGGGAGAAGCTGCGCAGTAAGATTTGTGTGGTGGTTGCTACCATTCGGATGGTGATGGGCACAGAGTCCGTTCAGTCTGAGATGAGTTATAATAACTGCTTTGCAGTAACTCTGTCTCTGTCACTCCTTCATCTCTTCTGCCTGGAGGGAAGGCTGAAACAGTCAGCCTGTTAATGACTAATTATGATCCACTGTACATCTTTATTAGATCATTACGAGAGGTTTGATGCTAAAGCTCAGGACTTAGGTAGGGCTGTGTGTTCTCAGAAGGCCTCGCTGCCACTGTGAGATGGCTGAATAAGCGTGGCTATCCCCACCAACTGATGGGGAACTGAGGCCCAGGGCCCGAAAGAACTGAGGCCCAAGGCAAAGAGGGAGCTTGTCTAGATTAGGATTCGGACTGGAATTAGAATTGGTTTCAGTCTCAAACCACAAACCCTCACTGCCTTCCAGGAAGGACCATTTCAGGTTTTGTGGTTTGCTTGTACCACAACCTCTCCTGCCCTCTAAAAGAAAGGATGAGCTCTCTATCACCCGTACCAAGCCAGCCTGGATTTCCCTTCCCTCATATCCTTTGTTCGTCTCTCTGCACTATGATACCACAAGCAGAGGAAGATATATCGTAGCAAGAGGGGTATCTTTTGGTCCCCTCCTCCTCCTCCTCCAGTGCTGAGAGCAGTCTGATGACCCAGTGCAGTAGTAGTTGTTCATTTGAATCCAAAGTCTGGCCCAGTGCTAGGAAGCAACGGTGTGAATGCAACGGCTTTAATTTAAGTTGAGAAATTAGTCCCTAGTGAAGAAATGGATTTAATATGGAAGTGTCTATTTGCATTACCATCCCACTGATTAGCTGAGCACCACCTGATCCAAACCCTACATAGCTACTTGCATGCACTGATGGGCAGGCATTATGTTTGGAAGGGTGTATAACAGCCTCTGCTGGGAACATCCTTCCAGACTTAATAGAAATGCTTTTCCCTAAAAACCACAGTCTACCTGCAATTAGTGCAACCACAAAACACTTCAGTGATGAGTTTTGTAGGAATCTGCCTTTGCCCCATTGAAGCAAATACAAAGACTCCTGTTGATTTGGAGTAAGATCCAAGTCAGGTCCTTCAAGCAACCAGACACTGATGTGGGAGAAACCAACAACCTTTCTTTCTGATGCAGTGGCAGTGGTTCCAGTAGAAAACAGCTGGCCCCTGTTTCAGGGGCCTCGGGCAGTCTGAGACTGGAGTCAGTCACAAAGTCACGTTGAACCTAATTCATTTTTTTTATTTTAAATGTCTGCCTGCCTCCTTCCCTTTTAGCCTCTTCCCTCTCTCTGCACCAGTGTCTGGCCAGTGGGGAAGCAGCGGGCAGATGACTTTCCGGCTGCAGGCTTACACTGAACCACCGCTTTCTGTGTGCGGTCTCCGGAGGGGTTGATGTGTGTCTGCACATGGCACAACCTTGTCAGCTTCATTCTAGTGGTTGTCATTGCTGAATCCTTTAGTCATCCATAGCATGCTAAGCTTGACAGAGGCCTGACCTCCTCATCGTTGCTGTGCTGGTCGTTGTCGTCATTGTGCATTTGATTCTGTAGGGTTGCAAGAGGAGCTGATGGACGAGGCGGGAAGGAAACGGGATTGAGCTAACCCTCCCCTTCGGTTCTGTCCCTTTTGTTCGCCCTCGCAGGAAGCAAGAGCAGCGGCTCCAACCGAAGCAACAGCGAGAACAGCAGGAGGGCTCTCGGCAGGGAGAAGGACCGCAAGTCAGCCGGCAGCGGCAGCGAATCCGACCACACGGCCCGCAGCGGAGGGGGAGCCAGCGGCGTGCGGCGCGAACGGCCCGTCAGCCAGCTCAGCCACCGGAGTCACGCCTCTGCCGCCCACAGCGAGCGAAGCCACCACAGCCACCATTCGTACGGGCCTCCAGGAGTGCCCCCCCTCTACAACCTGCCAAAGCTCGGCTCCAAAGTCTACGGGACGAGCGGACCCCCCGGAGGGCCTCCCGTCAGAGAACTGAGCTCCGTGCCTCCAGAGCTGACGGGGAGCCGGCAGTCTTTCCAGAAGGCTATGGGCAACCCTTGTGAATTCTTTGTTGACATCATGTGAGAGGAAGTGCCTTCAGACTCTACTTTTCAGGGGGAGGGGGTTTGGTTTTTTTCGGTTGGGTTTTTTTGGTCGTTGTCAAACACTTTAAGAAAGAAACCTAGGATGTCTTGCATGTAACAGCTTCCTGACTCGCCATCGTGTTGCAAAACCTCCCCCCACAAAACAAAAAAAAAACAAAAAAAAAGCAACAAAAAACAAAATGAAAAATCAAACAAAAAAAAATCTCCTGGGATTGTTAAATACCTGCAAATCAGTGGTATCTTTTCTTTCCTCTTTCTCTCTCTCTTTTTTTTTTTTTTCCCCTCTCCTTCCCTTATTTTTTTGATTGTGAGCGACTGACTGGTGTATATTCACATTCTAATGAGCTTTGGTAATTGTGGCACCAACTTCCAGTGCAATTTAGTGTCTACTTGGTTGATTCAAGGAATATTATTTCATATCACTTCTGAATTTCCAGCAATGCATAGGAGCACCTTTATTTTATTATTTTTTTTCCTCTCCCTCTACTGGAAACAGTGGCTACCGGCTCTTATGGTTCATTTCCGTATGATATCTCTCTGTTTCATATATCAACTCCACAAGCAGCTGTGACACCTGAACGTGTGTGGGTAGTGTGCCCTTGCAAAGGGAACAGGCTTGCAGCCGGTTCCCAGCACTAGGCAAAGACGTGACTGGAGATAAAGCCTTAGCTTCCTCTGCTGACCAAGGAGTATAATTGTCTTTCACCTTGTTGAATCTCTCCCATCCCAGGGAACGGTGGAATCGTGCTACTTCGCATCTTCACTGCGTGGATCAACTATGCTGTCATTTAATTTAATGTCCTGGTGGTGACCCCATTGCTGCAGCCTGTCAACAGGCATTTCAGTCCCCCCCTGTTAACAGCTATGTCCGTTCTTGTCGAGCTGTAATGTGCACTTGTTGCTTTAAAAGTTCTTTCCGCAGAAATGGGACAGTTGCCGCTAGCTGGTTACGCTGGCATAGATGCAGCGTTTTTTAGGGGAGAGTCATCGTATTCCAGAGGAGGTAAGGAGGGACCGTAGCGGTGCTGCTAGTTGTGGTGGCTCCCTTTTCTTCTTCATTTCTGAAAAAGATCTGCCTTCCTTTCTCCCTCCCCTGCTTCCCCTTTACAGTGAAAATAAAGCTCGGATTTGGCCTTTTCCAATCGGTGTCTAGTCAGCAAGTCAGAGGAGAGCACCTGCTGCTGTCTACGGCTGTCACGACATTTTCCCTTGTTACCCTGATGCAGCACTTGGGGTGTCGTTCAGCCAAGTGTGGCTCCCCCTGGGTTTTGGCTTGTTTGCTTTTGCTTTTTGAAGGTTTTCTCTGTGTATGTGTAGAAGAAGAGAGGTGACGCTTGCAAAAGATCCCAAATCACTTTGAGGCCAAAGTTGGTTAAACAGTGCATTGGGCATCTGGGATCCTAAGCCCCGCTGAACCAAGGGCCGATGCTGCTTTCATATATATAAGACTTTGGGCCGGGTCATGCTCCACCAATCGGGTACCCAAGTATGATCCTATTTCTCCCTGCTCAAGTCCCTGCTAGTAGAGAAGTTGGGCAGGTCGTCCTCCTCACTGCTTTGCTGTGACTTAGGTTTGAGGCTGAGTTGAGGTGTGTTACAAAAGCAGATGCAGTAGGATTTTCAGGGTCTCTACAGGATGCAGTAGGATCTCCCATAGGCACCTGGTAGGTGGAGTTAGATCTGGCCCTTAGGCTTCAAAGTCATTTGAATGCTTTTGAGAAGTTACCCAGGAAGGTAACATGTCTGGAATTGCCACTTTCCTCACAACTCATCAAAGCTGCTGACGGCCTCTGCGAAATCAAAGGAAACTTTTGAAGACTTGAGCTGTGGAGCAGCCTCCTTTTCCTTTCTTTTTCCACTTGGAAATGGCACAGACATGAACTAAATGCTGAATTCAGTTTGGCGAGATCAGACTTGAAAGCAATCAAAGAAATCAGGGTCAGTCATCCCTTGCGTTGGATGCACCCCCAGCAGGCACTGGAAAGGAGGCTGTGGCTTTAATGACAATCTCTAGCGGTTCTGCCTTTAAGCCCGTTGTTATTTTTCCATTCGCTAATTTATTGTCATTATCTTTTTCAAGATGGCCTTTTCTTAGGGCAAAAAATATGGGGGCAGATAGATGAGAATTGTGATACTGCTCTGAAGGGGTAGTTAGAAGAGAGAATGATCGTTCATCCAGGAAGCCGAACATGTTAAATTCCCATTTGAGGAGTTGCAGTTTACATACTTGCTGTTGGTGGGGTGGGAGGCGTATTTTTGTTTCTTTTTCCTTCTTTTCCTTTCTTTTTTCTGTTGTCGATGTAGTACGTGCTGTTGGCAGAAAAACTGTTATGTGTCTTGTTGGCCTTTGCTGCTACATTGAAAAGATTGTGTTATGTATTACTGTGTGGGAGGGGGGTATCTCTGGAAGGAGGCTGATGCAGCCCATACTGCAGGCATGGGAAGGGATTCATCTGCTGAGGGATATTTAAGCTCCCAAGTTCTCTTCTGGTTGTGAGTTAAAAATCAACCTGGTTCTGTTCAACTTGGCTCCAGCTAAGACCATGCACGCAGAATCTGCTTGGCACCGCGCATGCCGGCAGACGCACAGGTTACTGAATAGCACGTAGAAATTCTCTTCGCTGGAGGCCAGCGGGAGAACATAGACACACATTTGATGAACGGTGCAATATGTAATGGCCATGGTGTATAGTACACAGGGCCTGACTCTCCTCACCTTACCCTGGTATAAAGCAGATTATCTCCACTGAAGTCAGTGCACGTGGCAAAGCATGTGAAGCAGGAATGCGGCCCGTGAAGTCACTTAACTTCCGTGAAGGATGAGAGAGGATCTCTCTCAAATCCTTCCGATGCCTTGAAACGCAGACCAGTTGATCTGTGCCATTCGGGGGGCCTTGCAAACTGGGCAGGCGGGCGCTGCGGAAGTGAGGAGGCTACTTGCCGTAGTAAGTTCTGTGCAGGGTGGAAACAATGTGAACAGATGGGGGCTTTCCGGGAGCATCTTCTTCTTAGCAGGACTCGCTGTAGTGTGCTCCTTTCAGGTCACGGGGCTGGTGCTAGCCTGACCCCAGGAATGTATCTTGACCTGTCCTGTTCTGCTGCAGTGGGAAGTAACAGGCTCACCTTTCAAGGCACTTGCAGGTGTGATACCAGAAGGGCTTCGCAGGGCAAGCTGACCTCATAACAGGAGACTTAAAGAGAGGAGGAGCTTTTTAATCCCGGAAAGGAGAGCTAAGAAAATCTGTCTGTGCACTGCCGCTGGACTCACGCTGTTGTTCCTTCCTTGGTGCCGGCAGCAGTGAATAAAGACAAGGGTGTGCTTTGTGGCTTAGGAAACATGCATGTGCTAAGGGTTTGGGGTGACGCCTCCTACTTGAATGTCAGGGTAATGCACGCACCTAATGTATTAACTTTCTAAGGAGTAAGTTATTGGCAAATGGTATTTTATAGTCTTAAAGGCACCGCTGTTGTCTTTTGACCTTCTGTTATCACATTTGCTTTTCAAATGAAATAGTCCCTGGACACTTTATCCAAAGGCATATTGGATTGCAAACAATGATGCACAGGCATTGACTTTTGATATATATATATATATATATTTTTTTTTTGTTTGTTTGTTTTTGTTTTTTTTGTTCTTGTCAAATTGACAGTCCCA